GCTCGCCTTTACATCTCTAGGCTTCTAGGTATTAGAAAGAACCTTAACTTGCTCAATAGTGCAACTGAATGGCTGAATGGTTGTCATGTCTTTGTAATGCTAGTGAATACAGCCAACCAACATTCCATCAATGGTATCCCATAAAACCAGTTCTTTTACAAAGTAGAAGCAGCATCAAGGACACCAGTGCACAAAGGAAGTGTTCGTCATTTCACATTGTAATGTAGAGCAATGAACCAAGAAATCACAGCACACAAAATAGTGCATGAGAGTACAGAATAAGACCCCCATGGGTGCAAGACTCCTGACAGGGGCAAGGCTCTTTGGTCAACCTAGGCCAAAGCCAGGTGGACCCTGTTTCTTAGGGACCACCAAAGCCAGCCCTCCAAGTACTTGGTGAGGGTTCTACTGAAGAGAGACCCCCTGTGGGAAGAGCAAAAAAGACCTGAAGGTCATGCAGAGCAATCTTTATAGTGTCCGTGTGCTCTCCTATGTACTACACACATTATAGACTGGGGGATAGAATTGATTAGGTTTTTACTGATGTCTACATTCCCACTGGAGAGATTTCCCATTGTTTCTGACTTTTCACCCAAAGGGACACAAACAGCAGACTCACTGATAGATTATAGAATATACTGTACAGAAAACACATAGATAATGGAATTGTAAATATTGACTATAAAGTGACATATATTGTATATACATGGATAGATAGATAGATGGATTTGTAAATAAAGACTATAAAGTGACATATATTGTATATACATAGATAGATAGATAGATAGATAGATAGATAGATAGATAGATAGATTTGTAAATAAAGATATAAAGTGACATAAATTTGATATAAAAGAAAATGACATAGATAGATAGATAGATAGATAGATAGATAGATAGATAGATATAAATAAAGTGACATATATTGTAGATAGATAGATAGATGTAAATAAAGACTATAAAGTGACATATAGCTATCAGACATTAAGTAAAGTGTGGAAGGATTGGAATTTCTGTTCTTTTTTATTGTTGTCCTTCAGAACCAGCAAGAACAGACACATCCCAACAGGTATACACAGAGCAAAAAAACATAGCGGAGGTTCCTCCTCTTTCTTGCTGTATATAAAATGATGAGATAAAGTGTTGGGAGTGCTGGATGCCCTGAATCACTGCTTCTTTTCATATACTTGCTAGGGCCAAAAAGCATTCAGGTGAGCATCACATTAGCTCATTTAAAAAGCAGTGACATGAATTTATGGGTTGCTGTACAAAAAAAAAAAGAGAGCTGCACACATACAGCATAATGGACGGAGGAGTGAATGAAAGAAGGAGAATCTGCTGTTGGGATGGAGGGTGGGGGGGCAGCTAAATAAACCTGTTGCTTTGTCTTGCATGGGCACTACACAGGTTTGTTTTAATTGGACTGTAATATCTTATGGTCTTTATTTCAGGTATTTACATAGCACTGACAATTTAGGCAGCAATTTTCATGTATATTGTACATTCACATCAGTCCCTGCCCTCAAGGTGCTTAGAGATCCTAACTCACATGCATACACATCCTAGGGCCAATTTAGACAGGAGCCAATTAGCCTATCAGGGGGTGTCAGGAGGGTGGGGGGAAACCAGTGCAAGCACAAGGAGAACATGCAAACTCCATGCAGGTAGTGTCTCGGTTGGGATTCAAACTGACAACCATACTGCTGCCCATCAGAAGTGCCAACCACTAAGCCACTGTGCCATCATCTTCTGCACGGCAAGATATATACAATTGTTGTGTTCTCTATGTACGTTTGTGTAGTATGGGTAATAGTCAGGTTCCAAGATTTATTTTCGAATCTGTTTTGAAATAAGGCTTGAATGTGACTGGTCACACACAGACTCTCCATTGGATGGAGATTTCTATATGAAGCTGCACAGAAAGCAGCAGCTTACTTTTACCCTCTTGACTCTGTGATTGCACTTGTCTCTGGCCACTTCTAGCTTTGTTAATTACAGGTGATTATATAATTTACATTCACATCAGTCCCTGCCCTCAAGGTGCTTACAGATCCTATCTCACATGCATACACATACTAGGACCAATTTAGACAGGAGCCAATTACCAACCAGCATGTCTTTGGTGTGTGGGAGGAAACCGAAGTACCTGGAAGAAACTCACACAGACACAGGGAGAACATTCAAACTCCATGCAGGTAGTGGTGTGGTTGGGATTTAAACCGACAACCATGGTGCTGCCAGGCAGAAGTGCTAACAACTTAGCCACATTAGGCCACTGTCAATTATGGAATGATTACAAGAACAGGAAAAAAGTAACATACTTAAAAAAATAAATATATATATATATAATATCATTATAGGACCCCTGACTCTCCATTCTACGTAGTGTATTTTCAATAATTGAGTTTTGTAACATTTAGCTGAATGTTATTTCTCGTGCTGCACATTTTAACCAAGCTGATTTTCTATGTTTTCAGTACTGTGCTTCATATACAGATTGCTCCCTCCAGTGGTCATGTGTAAATCAGGGAATGTGATTAGCATCCCTGCTTCATGACTGTTGAAAAAAAATAAGAATTATAGAGTCTGTGGTTTTCAGGTCAGACCTGACACTCAGAATTTGGTGCAGCTATACATGGTAGACAATCAGCTTCTAACTTCAGCTTGTTCAATTAAGCTTTGAGAATAAAACCTGGAAGCTGATTGGTTTCTATGCTGAGCTGCACCAGATTTTGCAGTCTCTGGTTTTAGTAAAAAAAAAAAAAAAAAACATAGACTCACATCACAATGGATCACAATCACAATCCCTGTGCAGCACTGCAAAGCACCATATATCCCAAGCAAGAATGGCTGCGCACATGTACACACAGTACTGTACAGGTTTACACATTATTTTTTTTTTACACATTATTTTAAGTTTTTAAAATGGATTTGCTCTTGAAAATTACTCTTCACATGAACTAATAGGGCACAGGTTAACTCAAGAAAAAAATGATATCATATTTTGAGTAAAAAATAGACCCATTCCTTGCCTTAAATAAAAAAGCGCTACTCTGAGCTTCTTTATGTTGCCTTAGTGCAGGGGTGTCAAACTGGCAGCCCTCCAGCTGTTGTGAAACTACAAGTCCCATCATGCCTCTGCCTTTGGGAGTCATGCTTGTAACTGTCAATCTTGCAATGCCTTATGGGACTTGTAGTTTGGCAACAGCTGGAGGGCCGCCAATTTGACACCCATGATTATCACACAGATCACAAACCGATTGTACTATCTCCTTTAAATATATCAACAATTACAGAGAACAAGATCGCAGCTGGATGCATAACAATTGAATGAAATGTAGGGCAGGTCCTTGCACTACATATTTGCTGGTAAATCTAAAGCTGGCCATATGCTATGCAATCTGGTTATACAATATCTGTACAGTCTCCTTTACATTTACCAAATGTATGTACTATAAGAACAAACCTAAACAATCCATTCATTTAGTATGAGATAAGCCAGGCCTTTGCATTACATAGTTTATGGTGGATCCAAAGTAGATAGTACAAACAGATTGTATAGTGTATTGTCAGCCGAAAGCAGGTTGCACAGAGATTATACAATCAGATTATAAGGTGTGTGGCAATCTTTAGGCTCCTTTCGCATTTGCGTCCCATTTTTTTTTTCATCAGTTCAGTCACGATTTTTCCAAGAAAAAACGGATCAGTTCACATCAGTTTTTCATCAATTTACATCAGTTATTCATCACTTTACATCCGCTTTTCTTCCCGTTTAAATCCGTTTTTTGTCCGTTTATTTCTGGTTTTGTCCTTTTACATCCGGTTTTGTCAGTTTACATCCATTTTTTTTCATCTGTTTTTTGTCTGTTTACATCTGTTTTTGTCCATTTACATCCATTTGTCATCCATTTTTGTTCATTTACATCCATTTTTTGTCTATTCTGTTTTTTGGGGGGTTTTTTTTACCGAAGAAAAATAGGGCTTTCTTCCGTTCCAAAAAACAGATGTTAACGGATGCAGACATTAATGGATGTAAACACATGATCATCTGTTTACATCTGCTAGTCCATTGAAATACATGGGTGTCCGTTTTTCATCCATACACATACAAGCCCGTGTGAAAGGGGCCTTAGAGTTTAGACAAAGATCTTAGGTTAACACTGTGCACAAGTCACTGCAGATCTGGTTACCAGTGCATTGTGGGGGTTTTTTACAGACCCTGCAGAAAATCTGTTGCTTTTGATCATATACCTTGTCAGTAAGAGGAGACATATTTAGGTCCTTGTATCTGTATTAAAGGATCAATTTCCGTGGACCATTTATTAATTTTGCTCACTGTACATTGCCTCTTGATTGGGGGATAGTGAAAGGAAGGTGTCGCCTTGTTAAAATACAATTATAAATGCTATGATATTACTAATGCCTATTAGTTTAGTTCCTATCCCATTGCACTTATTAATAAATTCCTATTAATGTTGACCCCTCTTCCGTTGCACTTAATTATTAAATGCCAATTAATGTTTCCCCTCTTCTTTGCACTTTAATTTTATTAAACAGCAGTAACATTTTTTTCTTATGACTTTAGATATTAAAGGTACTAATGAATCAATAATAACAATAATAGAAAATCTAGGAAAGACTAAACTAACATTGCTTTTTCCACCTTTGCTGACTATCTCCATGCTTAAAACATTATGATTTGTTTTCCATAACTCTGGTTAATTTTTACTTTTGCTCTGCATGGGGGTTTCTAAAACCACTTCAGAACTTAAATGCGTCAATGCTAAGCACTTTAGTCTGGGCACTCAAACTGTGCTGCGTCAGTAAAGTGTGCTACTGTGGAATCAACAGTCAACTTCCAACCATTGGCAGAGACCCGCTGCGTTGCGTTGTAGACTCCGCAAGCCTGTGGGAAGCCACATCTCCCACCACACAGAAGGAGCCACTAACACCGCATCCTTTCATTGTCGGCTAAACACATATTCCTAATACCACCTCAGGCTTATGAAGGTATGCTGGAGTTAGCTGGGGCGCGAGCCACTTATGAAGAATTTTGCATCCCCATGTGCATTTTGCCTTCCACCATTAGCAACAATGTCCCTGGCACTGACTTAACTCTTGGCGCTGACACTGCTCTCAATGCCATTGTGGAGGTAAGTAACTGACTTTGAAATAAAATAGTTATTTTAAGGACCACTAAGCCTGAAAAAATAAAACATGAACTATAAAATGTGTGTAGGGTATAAAGTGGGCCTAAAGTGAAAAAAGAACCTAATTATCTTCATACTAAGCCTGCTATCTCCAAAAGAGTCTAAACATGTCCTTTGCTGTAATGAGGGGTACTCTGCAGTGGTCCAGACCAATCAGCTGACCAGTGGTGAGGTATTGGTCAGAGCAGGGGCGGACTGACAACTCATGGGGCCCCTGTGTCCTTGCCCAAAGTCAAAAAAGCCTATGAAAAAGGTACCAGGGGCATCTCATGGGGCCCCCTACTGACCCCGGGCCCTCGGGCAGTGCCCAAGTTTCCAAATGGTCAGTCCGCCCCTGGGTCAGAGGAATTTCCTGGTGGAATCTGATCAACATTCATCAGGAGACTGTCCAGGAAGAGTTTGACGGACAGCAGCTCTGACTAAACAATACCTTGACATCAATCCAGAGGATCTTCTGCAGAGACCTCCTGGCCACCTAACTGGCTGCTGGACCAACATGATTACCATTATTATAGTTTGCTTAAAGCAGTAAGAACATAATTTTCTCCCACAATCCCACAACACCCTAAACTTTTATTCTTATATTGGGAATGGTTTATCACTTATGTTGGGTTGTTATTGCCTTGTTTGTCCAAAATCAGGAGATGTTCCTACAGTTCTTGAACTCACAAAAAGTAAGAAGAATCTCCTTACAGGGATATAACAACCCATTGGAGCTTTTAATCCTTCCCCACTGCATCTAACACTAAAAAGGGTTCAAAGCTAAATTGAGGGTGAAGGTGCATCAAAACAAAAGGGGGGTGATTTGCTAACAGCAAGCCATCTGTTTACTTTCCAAGGGAAGTTGCTCTCTGCAAGGGGATTTCCTCAAATGTGGTGAAATTTCACTTTGCAAAAAATAAAAATGGTATTTCTGCTTACACGTGATTGGATGATGGATGTCAGCAGAGCTTCACCTTATTCTCTAAATTGCCTTGTAAAGTGCAACTTCCCCTGCAAAGTGAACAACCTATTTGTCTTTATTAAATCAACCCTACTGAGTGGAAAAGCATGTTCCCTACTAGCATGCTACAGAGTGGGACCCTTGCCCTCAGTGTGGAAGCAGTGGTCTCGTTGTAGAGATCCAACACATCCTCCGCTGTCTCAGATTTATAGCAATCAGCAAAGCTCATAGAACTGACTGGGTGTTTTGGGCCTCTGCAGTGAGACCACCGCTTCCTCTCATAGTTCATGGGACCTTCTCTATAGCATGTTGGCAGCAAACTGGCTTTTCGTCTCAGGCTGTGGCTACTTTCTAAAAAAAAAAACCTGTAAGAACACCTTTTGTGTTGTTACACTTGTATTTAGATCATTTAAACTGAAAGTTTATTGGGCTTTAAGCTTAATACTGTACATTTCCAGTAATATTTTACTTACTGGTATAAATTATTTAGCTGTAATTTTGGGGTTTGGGGCCTTTTAGGTGCCACCATTCCCGTGGTCAGCGATGAATCTCAGTAAAAGGAGACAGCAGAATTCACATTGTACGTTTCCCAATGATGGTACCAGAGAAACCATAAAAATATTTGTTTTGGATGAGATTGTGATGTAGGAGTGATGCCTCGCACACATAAATAAATGGAAACATTTATTAAATCAGATGTCCATACATTAATAGATGTAAAAAAAATAAACAAAATTTCTAAGTCTGCAAATACAGTATACATTCCTTACGTGTCATGTCAACATAATAGTATCGCTCAAAGCAACTCTATTGCTAAAATCCCAGTACCAGTAAAGGAATTCTCAGCTAAGACAATAGTAAATACCTCTCCTGCTGTCTTCACTGCTGGCACAAAGAGAAATCACTAAATAAAGTCTCCAGAGACTGATACACCAGAAGTGTCAGTTTCCTGGTCCCCCACAGCACTCTTTGGTTCTTCCCACTGACCTCTACGTCAATACTATGTCCTGTTGTGATGTAGGGGTCAGTGGGAGGAACCACTTATTGCGGCATGGGACTAGGAGTTTGACACAAGTTCTCTTCATTACAGATGCATTTGGCAGTGTCGGCAGTGGTAGCGGTATCCAGACACTTGTCTAATTTACAGAGAATTTTACTGGCCCTTTGATTACAACAGAGTTGCTTTGAAAACAACTGCAGAGTTTATTCCTTGGCTGATTCTGGAAACACAATGTTATCAGTCTGGTCACTCACTGGGGCTGTTGTAATGTAAAGCTGGCCATACACAGGTCAAATTTGGTTTAAAAATAAAACTTTTTTTGGACCGATCATTTAATTTTCTAATAGTTAATAGGGTCAAATCGACAATTTTTTCTGACCATAGTGATGAGGAATTGAAGGAGAAGGATGGAAATTCTTTTCTTGAAATAACAAAATTCATACTCTATGTGTGGTTTTCATGTGGGAAAAAAATCATACTTATCGAAATGCACATGTGCGACCAGAAATTGAACATAGAATTCAAAACATGGCAAAGGAGTGAAATATTTCAGAGTGCTTTTATGAAATGTTTCCATTTCATAATGGTAATATGGAGTACTCCAACTAATTTTCTGAATTTTCATATGAACAGTTAAAGGAAACTGGTGTCTGGCCAGCCTAACTTTCTTGCATCTCATAAGATAGAAGGCAACAGAATGAGCCTGGATCTATGTTGGACAATCTGTGCACACACTACTAAATCCATACCTCTGTTCAAGCACCAGAGTTTACTTGACTGTGTCATCTATCCTAGTCTAGGAAGTAAATGTTAACTCAGGATGATGATTTAACAAAGACAGTACATAGATTGTGGGGGGAAAGGTGAAGACATTGTCAGGGAGAATGCAAGAAAAATGAGAGGAGGTTTCCCTACTGCCTCACATCTCATCCACCCATGTAGTAGACAGGTAAAAGTAGGCTCAGCTTAGTTCATCAAGGCCATGCCCCCAATGCATTTCACCCTGCCCCTGGGGCTTAATCATGAAGGTCCATGATCTAGGCCCTCCATGATTAAGCCCCAGGGCAGGGAGTGAAAAGCGTTGGGAGCATGGTCTTGATGAACTAAGCTGAGGCTGCCTTTACTGTCTACTACATGGCTGGGTGAGGTGTGGAGGTCAGGAAACCTCCTCTCATTTTGCTGGCATGCTCTGGATCTGGACAAACCCATCCCCAGCATGCACTCTCACTATTTCCATGGCATACATTCTACAGGACACCGGTAGCCTGAGTGGGGATCCCCAAGCAATAATCTAGGGTCTTGTCAGTTAGAATACTCGGGTTTTGTTGTGAAACACACCTGTGCATTGCTTAGTGTGCAATAACTGAACCTTAAAAAATTTATCTGAGGGTTATGCCTGCCCTAAAACATCAGTGCCATCGTTCAAAGCATTGACAGCCATTTGCTAGCTAGACCACAGTGCCTCGAAATAGTATTCATACCCCTTGAAATTTTCCACATTTGTCATGTTACAAAGTGGCACATAATTGTGAAGTGGAAGGAGAATGATAAATGGTTTTCATAGTTTTTTACAAAAAATATCTGAAAAGTGTGGCGTGCATTTGTTTTCAGCCCTCCTGAGTCAATACTTTGTAGAACCACCTTTCGCTGCAATTACAGCTGCAAGTCTTTTTGGGGATGTCTCTACCAGCTTTGCACATCTATAGAGGGACATTTTTGCCCATTCTTCTTTGCAAAATATCTCAAGCTCTGTCAGATTGAATGGAGAGCATCCATGAACAGCAATTTTTAAGTTTTGCCACAGATTCTCAGTTGGATTTAGGTCTGGACTTTGACTGGGCCATTCTAACACATGAATATGCTTTGATCTAAACCATTCCATTGTAGCTCTGGCTGTATGTTTAGGGTCGTTGTCCTGCTGGAAGGTGAACCTCCACCCCAGTCAAGTCTTTTGCAGGCTTCATCCATCTTCCCATCAACTCTGACCAGCTTCCTTGCCCCTACTGAAGAAAAGCATCCTCACAACACGATGCTGCCACCACCATGTTTCACAGTGGGTATCATGTGTTCAGGGTGATGTGCAGTGTTAGTTTTCTGCCACACATAGCATTTTGCTTTTAGTCCAGAAAGTTCCATTTTGGTCTCATCTGACCAGAGCACCTTCGTCCACATGTTTGCTGTGTCCCCCACATGGCTTCTTGCAAACTACAAACTGGACTTTTTATGGCTTTCTTCTTGACACTCTTCCATAAAGGCCAGATTTTTGCAGTGCAGGACTAATAGTTGTCCTGTGGACAGATTCTCCCACCTGAGCTTTGGATCTCTGCAGCTCCTCCAGGATTACCATGGGCCTCTTGGTTACTTCTCTAATTAATGCTCTCCTTGCCTGTCTGTTTAGGTGGAAGGCCATGTCTTGGTAGGTTTGCAGTTGTGCCATACTCTTTTCATTTTCGGATGGTAGATTGAACAGTGCTCCATGAGATGTTCAAAGCTTGGGATATTTTTTTATAACCTAACCCTTCTTTAAACTTCTCCACAAACTCCATGACCTTTCTGGTGTGTTCCTTGGCCTTCATGATGCTGTTTGTTCACTAATGTTCTCTAACAAACCTCTGAGGCCTTCACAGAATAGCTGTATTTATATTGAGATTAATTTACACACAGGTGGACTCTATTTACTTAATTAGGTGACTTCTGAAGGTAATTGGTTCCACTCGATTTTAGTTAGGGGTATCAGAGTAAAGGGGGTTGAATACAAATGCATGCCACACTTTTCAGATATTTATTTGTAATAGATTTTGTAAACCATTTATCCTTTTTCTTCCACTTCACAATTATGTGCCACTTTGTGTTGGTCTATCACATAAAATCCTAATAAAACACATTTACGTTTTTGGTTGTAAGATGACAAAATGTGGAAAATTTCAAGGGGCATGAATACTTTTTCACGGCACTGTATATAGTCTTCAAGAATTAGAGCACTCCCAAAGTATTGCTTTGATGTTACTTTTTTTTTAATTACATTATCCTTTTTTCTAACTCATAATTATTTATCATTATATGAAACAATTGCTCCTGGCTTACATTTTACTCAGCTCTTTTTCCTATTTGCCATGAGGAAGATGACTGTCAAAGTAACTTCTATGATTATAAATTCAAATCCTCATGTTATGACATGATGAATCAGCTCAAAGTGAGTAAAATGTATAGCAGAACGTGGGAGGCTTTATATATAGGCACTAGGCTATGTAAGGGAGTTTTCAGTAATGACCCAGAAAAGAGAAGTAATTCCAGACACATTTTATCATCTTCTTAGAGATTAGTCACATTTCCTTTGCCAACTAGAGCTCTAACGAAGGTTTGAAACCTTATGTCAGCTCTCACATGCATCTAACTGGTTAATAATCTCACACAAAAGTATCTGTTTGCTCACCTAGAAAGAAAGGATTACACTAAATGATCCCATTAATTCCAGTATTTACAGTTGTATTCATACTTTCCAATTGTCTTTATGGAAGAGGAAAATTCTCCGCAATGGGCATGGCTCAGGGAAATCGCTCAGGCAAATAAACACCTTTACTTATCTGGTATATTTCTGAGTTCCTTTATGCTCAAGAATGTCTAAGATCACTGGCAAATTATTCTAAAAAGTCCTTTATTTGTAATTCATTTTTAAAATACTTAGGACTGAAAATGGGAAAGTACAATCCCAACCATTTTTGTGTTAAACATTTGGGGCCCATTCACTCTTATGCATTGTGGTAAAACACAGCAACAGCACCCAACACACTAAGGGAACAGACCTTATTTGTAGCACACGGCAATGCTCTAACGTGCTACAATACCAAAAATAGTGCATGTCCAATTTTCTGTCCATTTTAGTTAATTGCCAGCCTATTCAATGAGTAGGCTACCTTAAAGCGTGTATACGCATGAGCGTTAAACACTCCACAACAGACTGGCTAGGTGTATTTGGGCCCTAAAATTTCCTTAGGGGAAGATCCAACCTTCTCTAATATGGTTGCTTTTGTGGAGCTTAAGCTGACCAAATATATTATGACCTAAATGTACAATCTTGGTTAGATTTGCCATCACCATGTAGTCATGTTGGCTGCTAAGTTTCAGCAACTTCTTAATAGGTCACTTTATCAGATAATATATTCTTATTATTATTACACAGAATGTATATAGCGCCAAGAGGTTTCCCAGCACTTTACAAAATTAAGGGAGTAAGTACAGTTACAATACAATTCAATACAAGAGGATTAGGAGGGCCCTGCTTGTGAGATCTTACCATCTAAAAGGAGGGGCAAGTGATACAAAAAGTGGTAACTGTGAGTTGTTTGACAAAATAAAATTTAAGTGGATGTGGGATAGCCTTCTATGAAGAGATACGTTTTCAGGGATGGTATAAAGGCCGACAGAGTAGGACATATATGGACAGATTGGGGCAGGGAGTTCCAGAGGATGGGAGAGACTCAGGAGAAGTCCTGGAGGCAAGCATGGAAGGAGATGATGAAAAAGCTAGAGAGTGGGAGGTCTTGCTAGGATTGAGGAGGACAATTTGGGTAATATTTGGAGTTGAGATTGGTGATGTAACTTGGAGCAGAGTTGCGGATGGCTTTGTGGGTTGTTAGTATTTTGAGGAGATGAATTCATGATCTGAAGCCATGTTAAAAGTGTTTAAGTCACAGACTAAAATTAGTTTTGAATAAAAATTGGCTTTGCAGTTGAGTGCTGTTGATAGGTTTCTTGTCGCTAAGTGACAATTGGCTTGGAGGCAAAGCCCCTGAATATATGAAAACACATCCTTTATTTATGCTTTTAAAAAAGATGTGCTTTAACATTTTACAAGTTTAAGTGCTATAAATTGAGTGTTATATTATCTACCTCCAACATCCTGCACAGGTGCAAGTGTGACATTGTACAATCTACATTGAAAGACAAGCACTAATAGCTGGAGGAGAACAATGGGCATAGGGGAAGCAGTCCCCAGGAGCATACAATGGACCTCGCCATTGTCTTTTAATGTTTAATAGCAGGCAGGTGAGACAGGAAGCTACACATCTACAACATCAAATTGTGTCAGGCTGGGTGTAAAGCATGGCAGAGGTGAATCAAGAGATTGGCTGAACAAAATCAATTATCCAATAACAAATTAAGAGGTAAATGTGCTGAAGGATTAGTCCACCCACAAATGTGCCATATAAGTCCAAACATCCAGACCTCAGTCATACTTCCAGATCAGTGTATATACATGTGTAGTATAGATGATCTGTCAATGATATCTTATGTATTTGAATACTTTAGTTCAGTACATAGGTACACCCATCTATACAGTTTACACTCTGGTTTTATGCTGACATTGCATGGTGCGGTCATTATCTGTACTAGAACAGTATTAATTCCATGAACGTTTTCATCAGACATGTGATCGCATCAAACAATCCGCCAGTGGAACAAAGAGGCGAGTCTTCATCATTGAAACCATGGGTGGATATTGTGGATACCTGGCCAACATGGGTGGCCTTGCCGCAGGCGCTGATGCTGCTTACATCTTCGAAGAGCAATTTGACATTCGAGAGCTTCAGGTAATTATATACTAACTATATGTTCACACGGGATTTTTTATTACTAATTTTTCTTACGTGGGATTTTTGAGGAATTGGTGTTATTGAAGTTGTGTTAAACAGTAAGTGTACTTTCAGAGATATTGCATATTTTAACATTAGTTCTGTAGCGTTTATCTTAGTCTTTACCCTTACTGGCATATTTTAAATGTTTGTAATAAAATGAAACATTCTTTTTATATAGTCAGTATGTTTATGTTTACTCATGGTTGCCTTCAAAGGCACGAAAAAATATTAAAGTGTATATAAAGCCCATTTTTTAAAACATTTTAAATATATACAGTGGATATAAAAAGTCTACACACCCCTGTTAAAATATCAGGTGTCTGACAAAGATAAATAATTTCAGAACTTTAATGTATACCTATAAACTGTACAACTCAGTTGAACAACAAACTGAAATATTTTAGGTGGAGGGAAGTAAAATACTAAAATAATATGGTTGCATAAGTGTGCACACCCTTAAATTAATACTTTGTTGAAGCACCTTTTGATTTTATTACAGCACTCAGTCTTTTTTGGTATGGGCCTATCAGCATGGCACATCTTGACTTGGCAATATTTGCCCACTCTTCCTTGCAAAAACACTCCAAATCTGTCAGATTGCGAGGACATCTCCTGTGCACAGCCCTCTTCAGATCAACCCACAGATTTTTGATCGGATTCAGGTCTGGGCTCTGGCTGGGCCATTCCAAATCTTTAATCTTCTTGTGGTGAAGTCATTCCTTTGTTGATTTGGATGTATGCTTTGGGTCGTTATCATGCTGAAAGATGAAGTTCCTCTTCATGTTCAGCTTTCTAGCAGAAGTCTGAAGGTTTTGTGCCAATATTGACTGGTATTTGGAACTGTTCATAATTCCCTTTACCCTGACTAAGGCCCCAGTTCCAGTTGAAGAAAAACAGCCCCGAAGCATGATGCTGCCACCACCATGCTTCACTGTGGGTATGGTGTTCTTTTGGTGATGTGCAGTGTTGTTTGGTGATGTGCAGTGTATCTTTTGGAATTATGGCCAAAAAGTTCAACCTTGGTTTCATCAGACCATAACACATTTTCCCACATGCTTTTGGGAGACTTCAGATGTATTATTGCAAAATTTAGCCGGGCTTGGATGTTTTTCTTCGTTAGAAAAGGCTTCCGTCTTGCCACTAACCCCATTGCCCAGACATATGAAGAATACAGGAGATTGTTGTCACATGTACCACACAGCCAGTACTTGCCAGATATTCCTGCAGCTCCTTTAATGTTGCTGTAGACCTTTTGGCAGCCTCCCAGACTAGTTTTCTTCTCGTCTTTTCATCAATTTTGGAGGGAAGTCCAGTTCTTGGTAATGTCACTGTTCCACCATATTTTCTCCACTTGATGGCTGTCTTCACTATGTTCCATGGTGTATCTAATGCCTTGGAAATTCTTTTGTACCCTTCTTCTAACTGATACCTTTTAACAATGAGATCCCTCTGAAGCTTTGGAGGCTCTCTGCAGACCATGGCTTTTGCTGTAGGATGCGACTAAGAAAATGTCAGGAAAGCCCTACTAGAAGAGCTGCACTTTATTTGGGGTTAATCAGAGGCACTTGAAATGATGGCAGGTGTGTATTGACTCCTATTTAACATGATTTTGAATGTGATTGCTTAATTCTGAACACAGCTACATCCCCAGTTATAAGAGGATGTGCACACTTAAGCAACTACATTATTTTAGTTTTCTTATGTTTACTCCATCCCCAAAAGATTTCAGTTTGTTTTTCAAGTTTCAAAGTTTATAGGTCACATTAAAGGTGTAAAAAGTTATTAAATTATTTATCTTTGTCTCAATTTTTTACATCACAGAAACCTCACATTTTAACAGGGGTGTGTAGACTTTTTATATCCACTGTAGGGAAGGATTAGAACCTCAGTCAAACTTCATTTACTGTCTGTTTCCACTAGGTAGTTTCACGTCAATTTGCTCTGTTGACCATTGTTACCAAAATAAAAAGTGGGGGTAAATCCAACATTTTAGAGTTGTTACCAAAACAAGGGGTGAAGGTAGATCTTTCAGAGAGGACACCTGTTGTTCTTACCACAGTCTAAAATCTAGTACACACGAATAAAAAATCATACAAAAAAATACCGCTTTCGAAGCGATCGTATGATAATCTGATTGTTATTACACAATTTCCAAAATTATTCAAAGTGGGGGTAAATCCAACATTTTAGAGTTGTTACCAAAACAAGGGGTGAAGGTAGATCTTTCAGAGAGGACAGCTGTTGTTCTTACCACAGTCTAAAATCTAGTACACACGAATAGAAAATCATACAAAAAAATACTGCTTTCGAAGCAATTGTACGATAATCTGATTGTTATTACACAATTTCCAAAATTATTCAAAGCGACAAGCACAAAACATTTTCTCGTACGATACCGGATCGCACAGTGTTTGTTTAATCAGTATAGTTTTCATCCAAAAATACAATGCTAATACTATACATCACTTTCAAATTTTTACTTTATCGTACAAGAATTTTAATAACTTTAGTAACCTCTTCAAAAAAAGAGACAAAAAAAATGGACATTCATTTATCCGCTATTCTCATCGAGTGTACTGGGCTTAAAGCTGGCCATACCCTGGGAAGATTTCGGATTGTTCCTAGGAACTGGCCTAAATTTGATCAGTGGGTGGCCCTGTAGGCACCACTCCACCCAACATTTTCAGTTAAAAAATTGAAGGAGCATGTAATGCAACCAGTATCTCATCCATATGGGGTCCACTGTCTCAAATTCGCTGCAATTCAGTTCCACCGGGTCTAGCTAGAACATTTCTAGAGGAACATTGGCCCAAATCTAAGATTCCTCAATAAGGGATGCTTTTTAGAGAGAGTTGTAGTACTTTCAATAACTTCTTCACATCCCATACCTTTCTGGGCTTACTTTCATGTTAGGCCCCAAAAGTCAAAAACACTATATGCTAAACAACTATGGTGGAGATGCCTCAAAAACACATGATCTCCTTCAGTTATTAAACCTATTCAGTTCTCAGCTGCCCTGTCGGATTTTCCATGCTAGATCAGCTCTGCAGACTATAGCCTGCTGGTTGAACAAAAAAAATTACTCATCTATGGGCTGCCTTAGGGGTTGATTTGCTAAAGGCAAATTGGCTGTTCACTTTGCAGAAGAGTTTGCCCTAGAGATTAGTTATGAATTTTTGCTTGCACAGGATTGGATGATGACAATCAACAGAGGTTTGACTTATTCTCTAAGCTCCAGGGCAAATTCCCTTGCAAAGTACAACCTCACGTGCAAAGTGAACAGCCTATTTACCTTTAGTAAACCAACCACTATGGGGCATGTGTATAAAGCAGTGTATGTGATATTCACCAAAAATTCACTGTTCTAGAATTAATCATTGTCTAAAGAAGAAGTATGCCAAAGCTGCTTTGGCCATACTTCTCATGTGGGTAACGAGTGCACTTAGTTGTGGACTCCTGTGACTCAGATTCAGCCGACAGCAGGCTAAAGCCCAGGCGAGTATGTAAGTTTGTAATTTTGTAATCCCACACTTCTCTTTAAAAATAAATGTACCAGGGAGGTTCACATGCAGTGAATACGTTTGGTAAATGCCAGATTCTCTGAATTATGGATATGCCAAGTATATTATGAGCAATATGGCGGATCCCATGTACATATACAATTGCAAATTATATGCAGAAACAATGTTTTTTAAGATATTTACCTACATTTGATAAATTATTTACTATAAGCCCCATGTCATTAACTGTTTTTACCTGCACATTACAAGAAATATAGTTTAGGTCTACCTATAATGTCTTTTGATTATATCTGTATTATTATTTAATCTTTTAGGCAAATGTGGAGCATTTGACAGAAAAGATGAAGACAAGCATCCAGAGAGGCCTTGTACTAAGGTACAGAAAGCAGCAGCATAAAAACTTGGGACTGCAGATGTGAACAGGGGCGGACTGACCATTTGGAAACTCTAGCACTGCCCGAGGGCCTGGAGTCAGTAGGGGGCCCCATAACATGCCCCTGGTACCTTTTTCATAGGCCTTTTTTGAGTTTGGGCAAGGACACAGGGGCCCCATGATCCCCTATTGCCCAGGGGCCCCATGAGTTGTCAGCCCACCCCTGCACGTGAAACGCTAGACGGGGTGGTGGGGAAGGTTGTGGTCCATACTGTAGATAAGAAGTCTGATTTCAAGGGTCACTCCACTCAAAAAATTAATTCTTCTGTGTCAGATGAAATCTGGAGGGTAGAATCACCCTTCAACTTTTTTTCTGGTGTCCAAAATTTCTGATAGACACCAGCAACAAGATCTCTCCATCAGGGTTGCTGTCTCTGAACCCTTTCCATTAAAGCTCCCATGTATGGGTCAAACTTCTGCTGGTTCAGCAAGGACTGACTGAGTTTCGATCTAAGTATGGGCATTGTGGCTGTACAGAAATCGATCTAGTGATCGCCCTCTGTATGACCACCCTGCTGGAAAATTTCCTCTCATTTAGCGCTGTAGGCTATAGACTGCAGCTCTGATGTGTGTATTCTGATGATGGGGAAGTCTCCTCGCTTTCAGAATACAATGACACAGCTGGGAGGATTCCCCCATCCACCTAGAATGTGTGACTGGTGAAATTGGATTAGTTTTCTCCTTCAAAATGGACCCATCTATTGCCAGCTTAAGTCTCACTAGTAGAAGGTTGAGTCTCAATTCTGCTGCATTCTTTATATAAATGTATGTAAATGAAAACTACAGCGGAAGTTTCAATTACAATGTGATTTATCCTAACTTTCCTGCATATTTAGTGCTCACATGGAATAATATGTATTTTTTATTTAACAAGGAATGAAAATTGCAATGAGAACTACACCACGGATTTCATCTACCAGCTGTACTCAGAGGAGGGAAGAGGTGTCTTTGACTGCAGAAAGAATGTACTCGGACACATGCAGCAGGTGCTGTATCATCAGACTAAGTGCACATGGGCACTTCTGTGAAATTTAACATGCTGAATGAAAATGCTGCACTGCAAAGCACAGTGTAGGTGGACAGCTGGGGGGGCAGTAAAAAGGCAGATCGGCCCTCCAGCTGTCCGCCTACACTGTGACATAGCAGCCACTTGTTTACATTGTCGTGGCCATGATGCAGTGCAGCAAATTTCATTTAGTATGTACACATAAATAATGTTTTATTTTTTAGGGACATATAAGGATGATATTTGGCACACTGTTTAAAAAAAAAACCATGATCCCTTATTTATTTTAGGCTGGTAAATTCATAAAAATGTTATAATATATATTTATTACAGGTACTTACATAACGCTGTCAATTTACATATATATTATACATTCACATCAGTCCCTAACCCTCAAGGGATGTACAATCTAAGGTCCCTAACTCACATTCATACACATACTAGGGCCACTTTAGACAGGAGCCAATTAACCTACCAGAATGTCTTTGGAGTGTGGGAGGAAACCAGAGTACCTGGCAGAAACCCACACAGGCACAGGGAGAACATGCAAACTCCAGGCAGGTGGTGCCATGGTCGGGATTTGAACCAACGACCCTAGTATTGCCAGGTAGAAGTGCTAACCATTTAGCCACCGTGCTGTACATATATATATATTATTATTCTTTTATTAAATGAATTTACATTTTTTAAGGCTTTAATTGTAATGGTAATGAACACGCCCACCTGCAGGCTGAAGTGCCATCTGCAGGCTGTAGTCTTATTTTGTCAATGAATCCTATATCCTGCATGTGATTACTAGCTCATAGTTGACTGAATGAGCACATGATCTGAAAGCATTCTCCTTGGCTTCTGATTATAAGTGGGGAACTGAGCTGTCAGGAACAGCCAGGTTTGTGAGCTAACAGCTGTGCAAAATGTAGACTGCTAGCTCTCAAATGGAGGACATTTATTAATGTATCTAATGCAGCAAAAGACATCAATATAAAAGTCAATCAAGTATCCACGGTGCTCTCTAGAATGGTGAAAATATCCAGAGCTTTACTGCATCAAATGATAGCAATGCGCACTCACCAGAAACGCATGGATTATGCGCATGTAGGAATAATCATCCTAGATGTTAGATCCGTCAAAGACCAGGTGGTGGGCATCCTTCTCATGGTGGGTCATCCAGAGCTCCTATTCAGGTCCAGAGATCCCCTTAAGGTCAGCCAGGCAATCCTCTATAGTGGTGATGATCCCTCCTCTAGATGGTACAGGCACCTTCTTCTCCTTACACAGGCTGTCAGCTCTCCCTAAACTACTCCAACACATACTGACCTTTTATATTGATGTCTTTTGCTGCATTTGATCTAATTTTAAGCGCTGCACTACTTTTTACGTTTATATTTGCATTTTAAAGGCATTGTGGTTGCCTTAAGTGTTCTAGCTGCTATATTTATACAAGAGCGCTCACTACAATTTATTTTTAAATTTATTAATGTATCGTCAGCACAAGGAATCACACTTTGGTACATTATTATAGTAAAAATGTGCGTCAGCAAGCTTTAAGCCTATGCATGGAGAAACATGGCAGCTGCTCTTACTGACTAGAAAAAGTTAGGGGACTTTCATGCTAATCCTGCTTTGCTCTGTTGTGAGACACCTAGAACAAGCATGCAGCCAGTGAAGTCTGAAAAGTCTAAATTTCCTGCCCTGCATGCTTATTCCATCTTAGTGACTTGTCCTCATCGGCTCCCTTTAATCTCTCTATAAGCAGTAATTGCACATCACAGGTTGTAATTAATAAATCTAATTGAAAACTGATCAGTAGATTGTAGCACAGTGTGGGAACATTTCAGTGTCATTTTGGTTTCAAACGTCAATCACAGCTTTAGTGACACAATATATGTTTACAGGGAGGAGCCCCATCACCGTTCGATAGGAACTTCGGCACAAAAATCTCAGCCAAAGCCATTCAGTGGATTTCACGAAAGCTGAAAGAATGTTATAGAAAAGGTAACTTAGGTCTGACTAGCAGTAGCCTTCTATGCATATTCTTCAGCCTTTCCTATCGGCACATTGAGTACCTTATCTTTCAGTGTTATTGTCTTATTTCTGAATAAGAAATGTTTTTTTTTTCCATTTTGCTAATATAAAAAAATAAAAAAGAATGTACAGACCTTTGCAATATACATTGGCATTGGAGATCAGATCAGCAGTCACAGTCAAGGTTCTGCGCCAGCACTGGAGGCTGCCAATGGCCTCCCTGACATTGTCCTCATTTCAGGGCAGTGCAATGCTTGTCTGATGTGCCTGCTTTTTTATCTCAAATAAAAGTTGAACCCCCTTTTCAATTGTTCTGTAATTTCTATTGAACCCCCCTTTACTGTCTGAACCCACATTGAATATATTGTGCCTGTTAAAGTGCTGAGCAAACTGTTGGCGCTATATAAATCCTGTATAATAATAATAATGTTACATATTGCTTCCCTCCCATATTTTACAAGACTGCTTCGCACACATTGCATGCCGCTGGCTTCTAGATACTAGTAAAGTCCATTAGCTAAATATACTTTCTTTTTTGCTTTTATATTGTCTTTACTTTGATGGCTACTCGGGATACTTAGAGGAAGGTAATGTTTCCTTATTTCTTGTTGTAACCGTGATCACATCCATAATATCATTGCACAGTAACATAAACTATATGAAATAAAACGGTACAACAATAAAATATCCCTTTAGTATTTTGGTAGGTGGTACTGTATGTTATTCACAAACCAAGAAAGAAAATTCACTAATATTCTCAACATAGATTTATATAAGCAGATGGGCACCAATCATCTTAGATTCACTAGGAGGAAAGTTTTACACAGAGTGCTATGTGTAATGAGCCCAATTCTTTATGTACTGTATTATTATTGTTGGACCGTACTGTAAGGGAATATGCGGTGGGCATGGACTGTAGTTCTTTACAAAAACACTCTGTGTTGATTGGAAAGATTATTCAGTTCTCTTCCTTTAGGGCTCATTCACACTTTGACATTGTGTGTTGCATTAAGGCAGCCCATTAAAAAAAATGAGCTTCAGATGCACCAAAACAGACATGTGGCATTTTTGTCATTGCAGCACATTGCAACACATAATAGCATATTACTATGCACTGTGGTGTGCTGCAACCAGGTGGGATGTGCGATGCATTAGAGCGTTGGTGTGCCATTCAACTTCGCTCAAGGAAAGCCATAGATGATGTAATTTTCTTTGGTTGCAGGAAAGAAAATAGCTTAATTACCCCATCAACACAGTCAGAGTTGATGGGGGAATCCCTCCTGCAGTGCTTTTGTGTTCTGCCAGCGAGGAACCTTCGCTTCTGGCAGAACACAATGATTACTGCTAGTGGCTGTAGGTGCCGACAGTAATCACATGCAAAAAATCCAACAGGCTGGTTGCATTGAAGTCGATCAATAAATTGCCTTCAGTACCACCAGCCTGCCCATAGATAGATCAAATCTCAGCCGGTCCCTGCTGAACCGGCCATTATTCAATTGATCTAAGGCCGACTTAAACCTGATTTAAAGTAGGAATATCTAAACGCAGGAAAAAGTGATCCAGGAGGCATATGACTTGTTTATGCTTCCCAGATCATTTCTCTTGCATTTAGAAAAGCTAAACACAGGAGTGCTAGTGTAAACGAGGCCTTAGATACAAAAAGCAATATACAGGAGCAGTATCAGTAGGTGCATATCATAAATATGTCATTTATGTGAGCAGCCTGTTTCTTGATGATAGTGTCTCTTTAATTACTGAGAGTTGTATTTCCTCATGTGCTGTACACTAGATTTGCCTAGTACTGTGTGGTGCCTGAGTGAACAGCAATACAAAATAACAATAATGTTGTCTTTTTAATCACTAAGCCCTAGGTGTTCCCATAGATGACCAGTCTCCACCCCATAGGACATGTTCCACCTTAATAGAAATGTAGTGAGAATCCACAGAGCTCTCAGACTTAGTATTGGTCATATCCTGTATGCAGCTCCTTTATAATGTTTTCTTTCCATTGCAGGCAGAGTATTTGCTAACACAGAGGACACCGTCTGCCTGCTAGGAATGCGCAGGCGTGCTCTCGTCTTCCAGCCAGTCATGCAGCTGAGGGATGAAACGGACTTCAAGTGAGTACCAAGAGACACCTACATCCTGATGGACTAGTGTAGAATTCCTAGGAACGTGCCACATTTAATTTTGCTTCTTGACCTTCCCCTCTGAACAATACTAGTTTCCTGGCTGTCATGCTGTTCCAAAGGCTTTACCGACCTTGTGCAGATAAGGACTGCATGCTAGCCCCAATAAGGATTGAAACCATTGAAGCAGACAACAAGCGTTTCTCCCAAGGGAGTACAGCATTAGAAGCCCCTGCTTTTCTTGTATTACTCTCCTTTAAGGTAGTTACATAAAAACTGAGGTTTTTCTTGACCGTACATTAAGGGAGGAAGGAACCACAAGTGTTGCAGCTCAAAGAGAAGGAAATTAAATCCTGGCTTGGGCAAAACTCCATGTTCCAGCCCTGTCCACCGTGTACATCCCAGGCATGAGCAGACTTCTGCAGTCATCATTGTCTGGAGACATAGAATGGTTTTCACCCCAAGGTGTTTCAAGACCTCTGTTGCAGGAGGTGGTAGCAGTATGTAGACCTTCTGGCTCCCAAGTACAACAAGCCTTTTGAATGGATGTTCTGATGACTTTGTCAGATCAGATCAACCTGATCTATGCCTTTCTTCCTCTGAAATCCCTTCCCTGCTTGCTTTGTAGGATCGGCTGGCAGACTCTCTGTGGGCCCTTCCAGGCTGTCCAAATCTTTTGTCCGATGCACTGATTTAATACCTTGGTTGCTGACTTTAACAGCCTGGTTCTTGCAGTCAGGGTCCTGAGGGGTAAGGGGCCTATGTGATTTGATTTTCCTGACATTTTTAAAATGAGATTGACTTCTCACAAAGTCTACCATCGCACCTGGAAAGCAAAGAAATTCCATCCAGGAAGCAGGGGCGGACTGACCATTTGGAAACTCGGGCACTGCCCGAGGGCCCGGGGTCAGTAGGGGGCCCCATGAGATGCCCCTGGTACCTTTTTCATAGGCTTTTTTGAGTTTGGGCAAGGACACAGGGGCCCCATGATCCCCTATTGCCCGGGGGCTCCATGAGTTGTCAGTCCGCACCTGGCAGGAAGTACTCTGTGGGACTAATCCTGTCTTTTCTCCAGTCTGGCCAGCATCAATATTTGGTCTTGTGTACCAGCAAGATTCAAATCTCAACCCTAATGGTTCTTTTGAAAGACTGCTCTTACTCCTTAGTGAATATCTTTGTACAGGTCTACCTTCTTTATATCCTGCTCCACGACATCCGAAAGGGTACTTCTCTCTCCATTGTCTGGATGTTGTATGCAATGTTTGATTCTATCTCTCAGCTTCCTTTAGACAGACTGACCTTTCCACATCTAAGCTCACTCCACTAGATTGGTTAGTGCTTCTTGGGCTTTAATTAAATTCTGTAAAGTAAGAAAGTGGTCTCAAAGTATTTAAACCCCAAAACAAAAATGTAATAGTTTGTAGCTTACTGGTTCTTAGATGTAGTGGCCACATTAGTTTTTCTTTTTTCAAGCTCTTTGTTCTTTATTTTCACATGGTGACACTTCCAGTTCTGAGATGGCAGTGCACACTCACCCCAGTTTCAGGCAACAGCAATAAGATAGGTCCACAGAACCCTGTCCTTCTCCTATTGTCCATAACATAGGGTGGTGTGGTTCTGTATTTGTCAGAACTAAGTGCAATGTAATTAATAGCAGCACAGACTGCACAGAACGTTATCAGTTCACAAAATTTCTGGCAAGATCAACAGGTATTTTTGTAAATTTATCAAATGGTTAAAAGAAAGCGCCAAGAGAAGCTCATTGTTAGGGATACGAAATGCTTTAACTGGAGTGCCAGAACATTGTTCCCTTTTCATGGCACTGTTTTGCCACCTTGTGGTAGGAAAGGCGCTCGCAGTAGTAGCATAAGCTGACTTAATTCTGGGTTCATTTAATAAATACAGTGAGTATAGAAAAGAAAAAAAAAAAATGCAATTGGCGCAAGAGAATTTGTAGTGGATATAATGTTCACTCAGTAAATCTTAAACAAAATAATCCAGTAAACAGAAATTAAGATATATAATTATATATGCTAGTAATAAAAGGACAACAAGTAAATGATGCAGCTTTAGTGGTGAGGAAAGGGAAGGGGGGAGGGGAGGGGGGAGGGAAAGGAGGGGAAAAAAACTTGTAATGCAAACAGTACTGGATTGAGATAGATGGTGTATATATATGTATACATATATATACAAAGCTGCAGTGTAGACACCGTCGTGAGGCTTGCACTTTCTAGAGTAAACCAGACTCTGTGGTAAATGGAGAAGAGAAGTGCGCCAGACTAAGTGCAGTAGAAATATAAAAGTTTATTGCACACAAGATTATAAAAACTCACAAGAAGTGGGTAGATATCAGGCATCAATATATAAGTAGGAGGATGTCATGTCATCTGTGCTGCACCTCACAAATGGATGGCTGCAATGCCAAGGTGTTGCGTGGCTGGCGCTCTAGGCGGGTCCCACAGGAGGAAGCGAGGATGGCAGGCGCAGTAACCGGGAGTCGCGGCGCAGATAAGAACCGGGATCCAGGGCAGGCACTGCTGATCTCTCACATCAGCGTGGGTACAGGGACCAGCTTGAGGCACATCCAAGATGGCCGCCGGGCAGGAAATGACATCAGGACGTTGCTGGGAATCCTCCAAGGGGGCGGTGACGCGTTTCTAGGCAACCTGCCTTTTCATCAAACCTGATTGGCTAGTGGGATGAGCCAATAAATAAGGAGAGGAGGAAGGGGTGGGGCAACTGAGGGCAGGGTAGTGAATTAGAAAAAATGTATAATGCATACAGGCTTAACAAGCAGTGGTGGAAAACATAAGAAATGAACGGTGAGGAGCTGCTTTCTGCAGAACATGTGAAAAATAAATAGAAAGGAAAGGAAAGAGATGGACAAAAAAAAAGAAAAAAATTGTTGGGCAAAATAAATAAATACTTGGGCAAATTAATATGTATGAATAAAAGTATATATAATATACATAAATACATAAACAGTAAAAGGAAATAATTGTAAATATATAAAAAATAAAAAAATAAACAAAAAATAATAAATAAATAATAAAATATAAAATTAAAATGAGATAACAATAAGAGGAATGAATTCATTCCTCTTATTTTTATCTCATTTTAATTTTATATTTTATTAATTTATTATTTTTTATTTTATTATATATTTACAATTATTTCCTTTTAGTGTTTATGTATTTATGTATATTATATATACTTTTATTCATACATATTAATTTGCCCAAGTATTTATTTATTTTGCCCAACAATTTTTTTTTTTTGTCCATCTCTTTCCTTTCCTTTCCATTTATTTTTCACATGTTCTGCAGAAAGCAGCTGCTCACCATTCATTTCTTATGTTTTCCACCACTGCTTGTTAAGCCTGTATGCGTTATACATTTTTTCTAATTCACTACCCCGCCCCTCAGTTGCCCCACCCCTTCCTCCTCTCCTTATTTATTGGCTCATCCCACTAGCCAATCAGGTTTGATGAAAAGGCAGGTTGCCTAGAAACGCGTCACCGCCCCCTTAGAGGATTCCCAGCAACGTCCTGATGTCATTTCCTGCCCGGCGGCCATCTTGGATGTGCCTCAAGCTGGTCCCTGTACCCACGCTGATGTGAGAGATCAGCAGTGCCTGCCCTGGATCCCGGTTCTTATCTGCGCCGCGACTCCCGGTTACTGCGCCTGCCATCCTCGCTTCCTCCTGTGGGACCCGCCTAGAGCGCCAGCCGCGCAACACCTTGGCATTGCAGCCATCCATTTGTGAGGTGCAGCACAGATGACATCCTCCTCCTTATATATTGATGCCTGATATCTACCCACTTCTTGTGAGTTTTTATAATCTTGTGTGCAATAAACTTTTATATTTCTACTGCACTTAGTCTGGCGCACTTCTCTTTCTTCTCTATAGAAAAGAATCACCCCCCTTTAAAATAAGCAATTTTTTTTGCGTTGCATCCTGAAATGAAGACAGACACAGTTTTTTTTATCCAGCTGTATATACTCAGTGCAACTTATAACATCCAAGTGAAAGACATAAAATCAACATGTCAGAAAAAAAAAATTGGTCTACATTTCAGGCTGCAAAGCAACAAAATGTGATTATATTAAAGGAGAGTGACTCTTTTCTTACCCACTGTACATAATTAGTAGAATATTGCCCTTACCCAAGTGAAGCTGTGTTCAATTATAGTATATCTCATGGCAAAACTTTTTTTTTTTTTAGTTTTGGATAGAGTAGGAAAGGGTTAGATCCTCTGTAAAGATAAAGGTTTAAAATTTAGAACAAGAGAGCAGGTGTACTACTTTTCTAATGCAGACACCTGTTCTGGGAACTGTCCTAAAGGGGATTGCCCCTCAATTTTTGATATTTCTTGTCTTTCTGTTGCGTCTCTTGGCCAGGAAATGAAAGGAATGATACACAGACAGCAGAAAAAAAAATAGATGTGGCCATAAATAGATATTAAGCATTCCAAGTATGTGCAAGGTAAATTCCTATTCTTTAACTTCCACTGCAGAAGGGCATTTAAGTGAGTAAAAAACACAATATGGTCAAGAGTTTTTGAATGCATGACTATCACACACGTGAGTTTCTGGACACTCCATTCCAAAATCATAGGCATCAAGATGGGAGTTGGCCCTCCCTTTGCAAAAACAGCCTCCACTCCTCTGGGAATACTTGGAACAAGGTATACCTGAAGGAATTTGTGCCCATTAAGTCAATAAAGCATTTGTAAGATCAGTTACTGATGCTGGATGGGAAGACCTGCCGGGGCATAGGTTTTTAATTCCTCCTAAAGGTGTTCAGTAAAATTGAGATCGGGGCTTTAGGCAGGCCAATCAAAATTCTCCAGAACAAATGGTCTTATTGGTGCTGAATTTGTGCCCAGGGCCACAGTTATGATGGGACAGAAAAGGGTCGTGTCCAAACTGTTGCTATAAGGTTGGAAACGTTCAGTTGTCTATAATGGCTGTGTATGTTGCAGCATTAACATTACCCTATATTGGAAATACCTGAATTCAGTCATTTTTAGTGGCCTTCACATCTTTTTGGCCATACAGTGTAGTTTCAGCAAGTCAAGTTAGCAGTTGCCATTTTTCGTAAACAGTTCTTATGGATTCCTAATACCAAACCCTTTCATTTGGATTTGTACGAGGAAGAAGGAATGGTTGATTTTTTCACTGCTGCATTACAGCATCCAATTGAAATGGGTAATGAATCTAAAGCTAGCTTCTTCTGGAATCAGTGTTTTGTGTGCAGAACAGTTTTAATGCGTAATCTTTTTCTTTCATAACAGACACAGAATTCCAAAAGAGCAGTGGTGGCTGAAGCTGCGACCAGTGATGAAGATCCTGGCCAAATACAAGACAAGCTACGACATTTCAGACTCTGGCCAGCTGGAGCATGTTCATGTTAGGCGACCAAAACATTCTGACATGGGGGCCATCTAACAGCTGTGAGCCCTAATGGCATTCCACTGTTCATAGCCTACCGCCATCTTCATTGTGTGCTTTACCGCCATAGATTAGAATGGTTACCACACTTGTCTTCTGTTATTTAACATGCCTCGTTCTAGCACTTTATGTCCACACAACGAGCCTCACTCGTCAAGTCTGTAAAAGATGTGTCTGTCACACCTGTAGCAGCCAATCTACTTCTCCTTTTAGACAGAAATAATAAAAAACAAAAAAGGAGAAACTGATTGACCACTATAGAAATATAGAAAGCTTTTTCAAATGTTATCAGTCACAAGGTCCAATACCCTTCAGAGGTCTTGACTGAAGCATAAGATTGTGTCTTTACCAACCCAATATAGAGAAAGGTGTATGAGAATTATATCATCACTGAGATCACTTTAAAAATACATTGTTTTTTTTTTCATTTCCAAATATTTGGACCACTGTTGTGAATGGGTTGCAATGGTGGAATTTGTTTCCTGTGTGTTGTGTGTATTATTAAGTTATACATTTATTACACTTTGTATCAGAGATGTTATAGATACACCTTTATATATAAATATAAATATATCTATATATATGTGCAACTTCTATTTTTCCCCTCAGTGACATGATAAATGGTGCGTTGAAGAAATGGAATAATAAAGTACAGTTTGCAAACCAAATGCTGAATCTGTTGATGTAAACTGACTCAAAGTGCGACTTGATTTTTATTTCAGAAGGGCAAAAATATGTTTTGCAAGAAGAATTTAAAGCAGGTAGAAAGGCGTTGCATAATGAAAGTCCCAAATGATCCCTCTGTCACAGTTTTAATGCTCTCTAATGTTTAAAATATTGAGCGTATGCACATAGGCAGCATCACTGAAGAGAGTCATATGTGTGTACCTGTGTTTGTGCACATATTTCACATTCACTACCCCAGAGTTGCTTACTCCTTTATATATTTGATTGCCTATTTATCTTGCTATCTCTTCAGTTCCAAAATGTTTGTGACATATTTTTTTTTACATATTGCACTCTCCCCATTTGTTTTCTAAACATGCTTTTCCACCTATATGGGTTTCCTCATCAAAGTACCCACAATTCAAAACTCAAGTTCCTACAGGACTGATATATCCATAATGCCCCAAAAAATTAAAGGAACACTTTTTAATCTGAGTATAGTACCAAGTCAATTAAACTCCTGGGGTATTGTTCTGGTCAGTTAAGTAGCAGAGGGGGTTGTTAATCAGTTTCAGCTGCTTTGGTGTTAATGAATTTAACAACAGGCACACTAGATGGGCAACAATAAGACAACCCCCAAACTAGGAATGGTTTTACAGGTGGAGGCCACTGACATTTTTTCCCTACTCATCTTTCTGACTGGTTTTGCATTTGGCTAGGGTCAGTGTCACTACTGTTAGCATGAGGCAATACTTCGACTCTACAGAGGTTGCACAGGCAGTCCAACTCCTCCAGGATGGCACATCAATATGTACCATTGCCAGGTTTGCTGTGTCTCCCAGCACAGTCTCAAGAGCATGGAGGAGATTCCAGGAATCATTTCAGAACTTTTTCCACTTTTTAACATTGTAAATATATACAGTGGATATAAAAAGTCTACACACCCCTGTTAAAATGTCAGGTTTCTGTGATGTAAAAAAATGAGACAAAGATAAATCATTTCAGAACTTTAATGTAACCTATCAACTGTACAACTCGGTTGAACAACAAACTGAAATGTTTTAGGTGGAGGAATGTAAAACTAAAATAATATGGTTGCGTAAGTGTGCACAACCTTAACAGTGTGTCTCCCAGAACAGTCTCAATCGCATGGAGGAGATTCTAGGAGGCAGGCAGTTACTCTAGGAGAGCTGGACAGGACCTTAGAAGGTCCTTAACCCATCAACAGGACCAGTATCTGCTCCTTTGTGCAAGGAGGAACAGGATGAGCACAGCCAGAGCCCTACATAATGACCTCCAGCAGGCCACTGGTGTGAAGGTTTCTGATTGTTTGGATAGAGCCAGACTTCATGAGGGTGGCCTGAGATCCTCTAGTGGGCCCTGTGCTCACTACCTGGCCCCATAGAGCTCAATTGGCATTTGCCATTGAACACCAGAATTGGCAGATCCACCACTGACACCCTGTGCTTTTCACAGATGAGAACAGGTTCACCCTGAGCATGTGACAGATGTGAAAGGGTCTGGAGAAGCCGTGGAGAACGTTATGCTGCTGTAACATAGTTCAGCACGACCGTTTTTGTGGTGGGTCAGTGATGGTCTGGGAAAGCATATCCATGGAGGGACACACAGATCTCTACAGGCTAGACAATGGCACCCTGACTGCCATTAGTTATCGGGATCAAATCATTGTACCCATTTTCAGACCCTACACTGGTGCAGTGGGTTCAGGGTTCCTCCTGGAGCACAACAATGCCCGGCCTCATGAGGCGAGAGTATGCAGGTAGTTCTTGGAGGATGAAGGAACTGATACCATTGAATGGCCCCCACGCTCACCTGACCTAAATCCAATAGAACATTTCTGGGATTTCATGTTTCGGTCCATCCTACGTTGCCAGGTTGTACCTCAGACTATCCAGGAGCTCAGTGATGCCTTGGTCCAGATCTGGGAGGAAATACCCCAGGACACCATTCGTCATCTCATTAGGAGCATGCCCAGATGTTGTCAGAAAGAACATGTAGTCCGTACAGAGCAGCCTTACATTTCTAACACATTACCCAGTCCATCTCAGTATCCAGCATATTTTTCCCCATTGAGATCTGATGTATTTTTAAAGTGTTGCTTTTGGATATATATAGATATATATATATATATATATAAAAAAAAAAATTAAAGGATTAGGCCACCTGCCTTTACACACCCATGAACTTTAATGGCATCCCAGTCTCAGTCTGTAGGGTTCAATATTGAGTTGGCTCACCCTTTTCAGCTACAACAGCTTCAACTCTTCTGGGTAGGCTGCCCACAATGTTTAGGAGTGTGTCTATGGGAATGTTTAACCATTCTTCCAGAAACGCAGATATCAGACGAGAAGGCCTGGCTCGTAGTCTCTGCTCTAATTTATCCCAAAGGTGTTCTATCAGATTGAGGTCAGGACTCAGTTGTGCAGGCCAGTCAAGTTCCTCAACCATAACCTCGCTCATCCATGTCTTTGTGGACTTGCTTTGTGCACTGGTGTGTAATCATGCGGTAACAGGAAGGGGCCATCCCCAAACTGTTCCCACAAAGTTGGGAGCATGAAATTGTCCAAAATATATCTTAGTATGCTTACGCCTTAAGAGTTCCCTTCACTAGAACTAAGGGGCCAAGCCCAACCCCTGAAAAATAACCCTACACCATAATCCCCCTTCACCAAATTTTACACTTGGCACAATGCAGTCAGGAAAGTACCATACTCCCGGCCACCACCAAACCCAGACACATCCACTGGATTGCTGAACGGAAAAGCGTGATTCATCACTCCAGAGAACACATCTCAACATCTCTAGAGTCCAGTGGCGATGGGCTTTACACCACTGCATCTGACGTTTTGCATTGCACTTGGTGATGTAAGGCTTGGATGCAGCTGCTTGGCCATGGAAACCCATTTCATGAAGCTCTCTATGCACTGTTGTTGTGCTAATCTGAAGGTCACACAAAGTTTAGGTCTTTAGCGATTGCCTGTATGCTTCAGCATGCACTGACCCTGCTCTGTCATTTTACGTGGCCTACCACTTGGTGGCTGAGTTGCTGTTGTTTATAATACCAATAACAGTTGAGTGTGGAAAATTTAGTAGTAAGGAAATTATTGTACAGGTGGCAACCTATTACAGTACCACACTTGAATTCACAGAGCTGAGCGCGATCCATTCTTTCACAAATGTTTGTAGAAGCAGTCTGCATGCCTAGGTGCTTGATTTTATATACCTGTGTCCAGGGGGGGATTGGACCACCTGAATCCAATTAATTGGAGGGATGTCCCGATACTTTTGGCAATACAGTGTGTACAGTGGATATAAAACATCTACACACCCCTGTTGAAATGTCAGGTTGCTGTGATGAAAAAGATGAGCCAAAGATAAATAATATCTGAACATTTTCCATCTTTAATGTGACCTATAAACGGTACAACTCAATTGAACGACAAACTGAAATCTTGGGGGGGGGGGGGGGGGGGGGGGGGGGTAAACATAAAAAACTAAAAGAATGTGGCTGCATAAGTGTGCGCACCCTTATAACTGGGGTTGTAGCTGTGTTCAGAATTAAGCTATCACATTCAAAATCATGTTAAATAGGAGTCAGTACACACCTGCCATCTTTTAAAGTGCCTCTGATTAACCCCAATTAAAGTCCAGCTGTTCTAGTAGGTCTTTCCTGACATTTTCTTTGTCATATTCTACACCAAAAGCCATGTTCCGCAAAGAACTTCCAAAGCATCAGAGAGATCTCATTGTTAAAAGGTATCAGGCAGGAGAAGGGCACAAAAGAATTTCCAAGGCATTAGATATACCATGGAACACAGTCATCATCAAGTGGAAAATATATGGTGGAACAGTGACATTAGGCCTACAGCAACATTAAAGGAGCTGCAGGAATATATGGCAAGTACTGGCTGTGTGGTACATGTGACAACAATCTCCCGTATTCTTCATATGTCTGGGCTACGGGGTAGAGTGGCAAGATGGAAACCTTTTCTTAAGAAAAACATCCAAGCTCGGCTAAATTTTGCAAAAACACATCTGAAGTCTCCCAAAAGCATGTGGGAAAATGTGTTGCACTTTTTGGCCATAATTCCAAAAGATATGTTTAGCGCAAAAACAACACTGCACATCACCAATAGAACACCATACCCACAGTGAAGCATGGTGGTGGCAGCATGATACTTCGGGGCTGTTTTTATTCAGCTGGAACTGGGGCCTTAGTCAAGGTAGAGGGAATTATTAACTGTTCCAAATACCAGACAATATTGGCACAAAACCTTCAGGCTTCTGCTAGAAACCTGAATTTCATATTT